AAGGTCAGCATGTTTTATGTTTTGAAAAGATCAGGGCCGGGCACAGCAGCTCATGCCTATAATCCCAACACTTGAGGAAGCCAAGGCAGGTGGCTTACTTGAGCCCAGGAGTTTAAGACCAACCTAGACAACATGCTGAAATCCCATATCTACAAAAAATACAAAAATGAGCTGGTGTGCTGGCATACACCTATAGTTCCAGCTACTCTGGAGGCTGAGGTGGGAAGATCACTTAAGCCCAGGAGGTCAAGGGTGCAGTGAGCAGTGATCGTGCCACTGTACTCCAGCCTGGGTGACACAGTGAGACTCTGTCTCAAGAGAAAAACAAAAGAGATCACTTGGCTTTGGAATGGTGACCCATCGGAGGGACAGAGTTGACTGTGATGGTAAACAGTGCAACATCCAAAATAAGATGTATTCTAGTCCCCCAAAGTTCTGCATGGAATCCAGAAATCAGGGAACCTCTGGACAAGTACAGGCTGCTCTTTCACCATCATGTGGATGCAACTGTGAGGTTCAGAGAGAGAGGAGACCAGCTAGCCTCATTCTTGTGGTAGGAGCCCCAGGGATGGAAATGCCAGTTGCTTCTTCAGTTAGGGCCCTGTGCTGTTACCCCACCCTAGGGCTGTCTATTGCTAAAAGCTTGGCTGGCTGAGGGCTTGGGGAACCGGCACAGGGCAACTATAAAGCCATCTGGCTGGCTGGACAGGAAGCAACTGCTTAGTCATACATATTGCGACATCCCCAGATCCCAGACTAGAGATGTTATCCTACATCATTGCGACATCCCCAGATCCCAGGCCAAAGATGTTATCCTGGATCACTGCCCGCTATTCCAGGACATGTGTCCCTCTGAAGCTCCAACGGTGGGCAAGGGGCAGACAAGGGGTCCTTCAGGCTGGGAGAAGGCTGGCCCCCTGCTCCAATCCAGAGAGCCTGATGGGTGGTAGGTTCCCCACAGAGATTAGGCATCTCTGGACATGGCCTTTCACTTTGATCCGTGGTTTTGCCCAGGACTCATGGTATTATAAGGTCTCATCTCACCCCACCCAGGTCATAAGTCACCTACAAGCATTTGCCAAGGGGCTGGTCCCAGCTTTCAGGGTCAGCAGAGTGGCTGGCATTGAGGTAGCCAGGTTTCCAGAGTGCTGTGCCCTTGCTCCTGGGGCCCTCTGGGCTGCCACACAGAGAAATTCACTGTGTTGGGTAGCTTAGAGGCCACAGATTGCAGAGAGGCCAAGCCTCCATTCATGTGTTCATTATTTATTCATTCAGCAAATATTTATTAAGCGATTTACTAGCACCAGATCCTATGCTAGACACCAGGGAAACAGGGTGAGCTGGATGTCCAGGCCTTGCCCTCAAATAGCACAGAGATCATGAGAAAGACCATTAAACAAGTAAGGACAAAGTGGCAGGTGCTGGGGTGGGGTACACGGGAACTTCAGCAGGAACACATGTCCTAATCATGCTTAGAGGACAGCTGTCAAGCACATGAGAAATTAGGCAGGACACTGCCGATGGTACTGAAGTTAAAATGTGTGTTGTTGAATCAGATAGACTGCACTCAGTGGATTCAGTAGTAAGGAAATCTGTTCCTTTGCATGACAGGGCACTGTAAGGTAGGGCAGTCTAGGCTTGGTTGACCTATCATCCAGGATCTATCTTTCCTGTCTCTTGGGGCCTCATGTGATGGTCAGGCTAGTTCCTTGGAGGCTGCAGGTGGGGCTGCAGCTGTTTCTGCTATGATTTCCAGACATGACAGTGCCAGGAGATAGTCCAGACCAGGTCATCCTGTGTCTCTCCTAGAGACTAAGATACCTTTCCCAGAAGTCTCCAATACCCCTCATTTCTTATCAGGAAAACTGAGTTACAGGGTCCAGGCCTGGAGCTCCAGTATGAAGTGGAAAGGTGGAAAAACTTGAAGAAAATGTAGGGTCTGTTTGGAACATGGGTGAGGTGCAGCATGGCTGTGGGGAGACATCAATACATGTGCTGCAGGAATATCATAGCCAGTAAAGGAGGCAGTGGGCAAGAGGCAGGGTCCCCTAATGCCTTTGGACCGTTCCATAGTGCCCTGGAAGATAACATATATTCTAAAAATGTCTATGCTGGCTGGGTGGGATGGCTCACGCCTGTAATCCCTGCACTTTGGGAGGCCAAGGTGAGTAGATCACCTGCGATCAGGAGTTCGAAACCAGCCTGGCCAACATGGTGAAACCCCGCCTTTACTAAAAATACAAAAAATTAGCTGGTGTGGTATTGGGCATCTGTAATCCCAGCTACTCAGGAGGCTGAGGCAGGAGAAGTGCTTGAACCCAGGAGGCGGAGGTCATGTGAGCCAAGATTACTCAATTGCACTCCAGCCTGGGCAACAACAGCAAAACTCTGTCCCCGCCTCAAAAAAAATTAAAAATTAAAAAAATGTCTGTGCCCTTGGTCTGCCTTTTGGGGAGGCACAGAGCACATAAGGCTCTGAAAAGTCCTGTAGTAAAAGAAACAGGTTTCACTTTGTGGAGCTCAGCAAGTGCTGGATCTGCTTCTACATGTCGTCTTATTTCTTTCTTGCATCAGCCCCAGGAAGTGGGTGCCAAGAGAAGGAACTGAGACTTAGTGAGGATAAGGGACTTGCCTGTGATCACACAGCCCAGGAAATGGCGAAGCAGACCTGAGTCAGGAGACCTGTGTTTGGCCCTGGGTCTGCTGTTAGTGGCTGTGTGACCTCAAGAGGGTTGCTCTGTCTCTCTGGATCCCCTGATTCTTCACCTGAAAAAGGAGGGGTCTTTTGTTTCTGCAGGCCCTTTAGAAGTTCAAAGGCAGAAGTCACCCTCCTAAGGACCAGTTTGAATTGGGCCTTGAAGGACAGGCTTCAAGAGATGAGCAAGGGAGAGGTGCAAGGTTTCAGGGGAGCCTGCAAATTCTCTGGGCTTACTTCCATCTTGGAGGCCAAGGAAGCTACCTCCTCCAGAGAGTCTCTGCAGCCAGCATTGCCTGTGTTTCCAGGCCGGACTGAAGTTCTGGCCTCTGATGGATCTTCTCCCAGCTAGCTTTTCTCCTGATTTTTTCTTTTCTTTTTTTTTAAAGACGGGTTTCACCATGTTGGTCAGGCTGGACTTGAACTCCCGACCTCAGGTGATCCACCCTCCTCAGCCTCCCGGAATGCTAGGATTACAGGTGTGAGCCACCACGTCCAGCCTCTCCTAATTTTTCTTTTTCCTTCCTGGCTCTACGTGAGGTCATGGGAACAAGGTTGCACCTCCCTGGACAGGCTGCCCAGGTGCCCAGGCTTCGCTGTCCCTATCTGTGTCTTCTCCCAGGGCACAGATAGGGTGGGTGGAGCTTGCCAGGCCTGGCTCTGCCAGGGAGTCACATAATCAGAGGCCACACAGCATGAAAGAACTGCCCCACTGTGCAGAACCAAGGATGGGATGGAACAGAAGCAAAAGGTGTAGCAGAAAGGATGGTGACGCCTCTCATTTGTCCTCCATCTCCTGGCCCTATTAGGCCCTTAGGAAATGTGTCCAATGCATGGGTGTGCTCCTACCAGTGCCACCTCCCATCTGAACAAGCTTGGGCCCCTTTTACTTCCTCTCTATCTCCCACTTAGCAAAGAAAACCAGGTGTACAGGGCCAAGGTCACAGTCACAGGCCCCTTCTCTGGTGGAGTGAAAGATTTCTTTGAACTGAGATTTCTCCCTGGTCTAAATCAAGTGCACCATCCCTCCTGCCATACTCTGAGGCTCCTGGTCCAATCAAATAGCCCTCTACTGTGGAGCCTCCATTGCCCCTTCCTATGGATACCCCGCCAGACCTCCTGAACCAAGTTCATTCCTTTTTTTCCAAGACCTCTGTTCAGTACATTTTGTGTTGACTGGTCTGTCACCCCTACTATACTGAGTTCATGAGGGCAGATCTATATTTTCTTCATTTCTGAATCTCTCCCCAACTCAGCCTCATTCCCTGCCTGGCACGGAGTGGGTCCTTAATAAAGACTTGAAGGGAGGCAAACCCTAGCCCGCCATGCTGGAGGCTGCAGTCCTGACCTGCCCTGTGCTGCCAGGCAGACAGCCCAACAGACTGAGATGGGACTCAGATGCCTGCCCCTCCCTGCACCAAAAGCCAGTTAATAGAAGATTTTTATGGAAGCTGTGTTTGGCTTTGTGTCTCTTCTTTTTATCTTACCCTTGATACATTCCAGAGACCCAATTTCACAGCTAAGCTGGATTTTCTTGCCTGGCGTCTCATATTGATTTTCCCCAGGCTAGAAGCTACATTCCACAGGCCAGGGTATGTTTCTGACAAGCCAGGTTGTTTCACGGGTTTGCAAAACCACAGGTTGAGAGCCCTCATTCCCTCTTGTGGCTGTGCTGCAGCTCACTGTGACCCAAACATCTCCCTTCCCACCTCCAGTGCACCCGAGTGCCCTCAGCTGTGACATGACAGGAGTTAGTCTTCCAAACTATTATTCTTCCAGTGAAATTTCACATGGGAACTTGAGCAGTGAAAAAGACAGAAGGCCCCTATGGTCAGGTGGGGTGATAGGAAGAGTACTGGGCCCCCCCTTTTCTTGTACCCCAAAGGTCCGTAGGTCTCCCTTGAGCTCAGTAAGAAAGCCACATGTGGCCGTGCTGCTTCTTAAATTTTTGTTTGTTGGCAAGGAAAGGTCATTTTGGAAAAAATAAATAAAATTTTTAAATGAAAAAAATTTTTGTTTAAGAGATCCAGGGCTGGGCACAGTAGCTCACTCCTGTAATCCCAGCACTTTGGGAGGCCGAAGTAGAGGATCACTTGAGCCCACGAGTTCAAGACCAGCCTGGGCAATATGGTGAGACCCTATCTCTACAAGAAATTTAAATTTAGGCTGGGCACAGTGACTCATGCCTGTAATTCTACCATCTTGGGAGGTTGAGGCAGGTGTTTCACTTGAGGCCAGGAGTTCCAGACCAGCCTAGCTAACGTGGCAGATAACCCATCTCTATTTAAAAAAATACAAAAATTACCTGGGTATGGTAGCATGAGCCTGTACTCCAAGCTATTGGGAAGGCTGCAGCACAAAAATTGCTTGAGCCCAGGAGGCAGAGGTTGCAGATGAGCCCAGATCATACCATTGCATTCTAGCCTGTAGCAAAAAAAAAAAAAAAAAATTTAGACAACTTCAGGTGCTTCCAAGCGGTAACCATCATCATCTGGTGTGGGGCTTACTAGCCTTCTCTCTGCATTGTCATGCATAGGTGTGTGGTCATAGAAGAGTTAGTGTGGTTTGCTTTTTTTCCTTGGGAATAAGAGAATTCTTTCCACATCAGCACAAATAGATCACTGTCTTTCTTGACAGCTACCACACAGCGATCTGTAATACAGATGTGGCACAGTTCATTTGGCTCTTTCACTCATGATGGACATTAGTTGCTTTCCATTTTTCACTGTTGCAAACAATGCTGAAAGAAAATCTTTAATCAGACCTCTGTACACACAGCCAGCATCTCTTTAGTGTAGATGCCTTGACAGGGAATATCCTGTTCAAAAGGTGAGCAAATTTTACTTTTTTTTTTTTTTTGAGACAGAGTCTCTCTCTGTCGCCCAGGCTGGAGTGCAGTAGCAGGATCTCTGCTCACTGCAACCTCTGCCTCTCGGGTTCAAGCAGTTCTCTGCCTCAGCCTCCTGAGTAGCTGGGATTACAGGTGCCTGCTACCACATCCAGCCCCAATTTACCTTTTAACAGTGGCTCTCGGCCGGGTGTGGTGGCTCATGCCTGTGATCTCAACACTTTGGGAAGCCAAGGTGGGCAGATCACTTGAGATCAGGATTTGAGACCAGCCTGGCCAACATGGTGAAACCCTGTCTCTACTAAAAATACGAAAATTTGCCGGGCATGATGGTGCATGCCTGTAGTCCCAGCTACTCAAGAGGCTGAGGCAGGAGAATCACTTGAACCTGGGAGGTTGCAGTGAGCCAAGATCAGGCCACTGTACTCCAGCCTGGGTGACAGCAAGACTTCATCTAAAAAAAACAGTGGCTCTTGGGATGCTCTCTAAAGAGGCTGGAGCCGTCCTCATGGGCACCAGCAGCAGTGAGGGTTTCACCCTCCCACGCCCTCACCAATGTTTGATTTCATTTGTCTCTGTGCCATTCTGAGGGGTAGTGCAGTGACCTGTGGTCTCTGGACTCTCCATACCCTGCAGTAGTTCCAAGCCTGATGGTTTTCCTTTCTCTCTCTGCTGTTCCCTCTCAGCACCAAGAAGGAGGAGAACACACGGAGTTTGCTGAATGACAAGCGCACAGTGGCGGCGCAGCGGCAGCGCTATGAGCAGTACAGTGTGGTGGTGGAGGAGGTAGGCCACCAAGCTGAGCCTCTGCTGGGCTGGGGAGACCAGGACAGCCCCTGAGTCCCTCCAACCCATGCTTCTGCCATTGTAGGTGCTACTGCAGCCAGGCGAGAGCCTGCCCTACCACAATGTTTACTATGAGGATGAGTACGATGACACATACGATGGCAACCAGGTGGGTGCCAACGATGCAGACTCAGACGACGAGCTTATCAGCCGCAGGTGAGGTCATAGGGCGGGTGGCATTCCAGAGCAGAACAGCTTTTAGGCCTGTGGGGCTCCCTCACCCTCTTGTTTACATAGATGAACAAGTCAGTGGCAGAATCGGGGCCCAAACCCAATCCTCCTCTCTCCTAATCCAGTGCTCCTCCATCCCAGCCCACCTTGAATGGGACAGCATTTATTCAGTGTCATGCAGTAGCTTTGCATTTTTCTTTTTCTCTTTCTTTTGTTTTTTGAGATGGAGTCTCACTCTGTTGCCCAGGCTGGACTGCAGTGGCGCGATCTCGGCTCACTGCAATATCCGCCTCCCAGGTTCAAGCGATTCTGCTGCCTCAGCCTCCTGAGTAGCTGGGACTATAGGTACATGCTACCACACCCAGCTACTTTTTTATTTTTAGTAGAGACAAGGTTTCACCATTTTGGTCAAACTGGTCTTGAACTCCTGACCTCAGGTGATCCACCCACCTCAGCCTCCCAAAGTGCTGGGATTACAGGTATGAGCCACCATACCTGGCCACTTTTTCTCTTTTTTGAGACAGGTTTTCACTCTGTCACCCAGGCTGGAGTGCAATCATGGCTCACTGCAGCCTTGACCTCCTGGACTACAAGTGATCCTCCCACCTCAGCCTCCTGAGTAGCTGGGACTACAGGTGTGGTGTGCACCACCACACTTGGCTAACTTTTATTTTTTGCAGAGGTAGGAGTCTCACTATGTTGCCCAGACCAGACTCAACCTCCTGGGCTCAAGTGATCCCTCCACCTCAAACTCCCCAAGTGTTGGTATTACAGGCGTGAGCCACTGCACTCAGTCCATTTTTCTTTTTTTTCACTATCTCCAGTAATGGCTATAAGCAACATTTTTCTTAACTGAAGAAAACGTTTCCAGGTGGAATCGTGTAATGATTCTCCAATACAGGTCAAAGCAGAACTGTCCTGACTAAAGAGAGGCCTGGAGACCCTCGTGGCCCCATCTCAGCCTCCCCCTTCAACTCCCACCTCAAATTCTGTTAACCTCAGAGAATCCAGGAGCTGGAGCAAAGCTGGCTTGAAACCCCTTTGGTTTTTCCCAGCCTCATGAGCCCTCCTTGTGGCCACCTCACTCAGCCAGGCTCCCTCCTCTTGTGGCTCTAGCTGTTCTTTGATTTCACTTTCTCTCCATACCTTCAGGCCATTCACCATCCCTCAGGTGCTGAGAACCAAAGTGCCTAGAGAAGGGCAGGAGGAGGACGACGACGACGAGGAAGAGGAAGCTGACGAGGAGACTCCCAAGGTACCTCCCTGGCAGGTGATAGATGAAGCGGGGAGTGTGGTTCTGAAGGGTGAATCAGAAGTGCCCCTCACCCCTCCCTGCGTCTGGCCCTGAGGCAGCCCCAGCATCACTGGCGGGGACAAGAGGAGTCCCTTTGAGCCCAGGATGTCTGCTTGGAGAGCTGCTGGCTTAGAACTCACTTCTGCTGCCTACTAGTGAGGGCCCAGGGGACAGATTAAAGGCAGGGCCTCTGAGCTGCCAGCTTCATTATTAGGCTCAGGAGCCAGGGGTCGGGAGAAGGGCAGTTACCGGCACCGTGCCCAGGATGGCAATCCTTAAAATCAGAGAGGAGTTAGAGACCCCAAGGGCCCTGGGTAGTCACCTGGAACCAGTAGCTTAGAAAATTCTACTTTCAGCCGGGCATGGTGGCTCACGCCTATAATCCCAGCACTTTGGGAGGCCGAGGCGGTCAAGAGATCGAGACCATCCTGGTCAACATGGTGAAACCCCGTCTCTACGAAAATACAAAAATTAGCTGGACATGGTGGTGCACGCCTGTAGTCCTAGCTACTCGGGAGGCTGAGGCAGGAGAATTGCTTGAACCAAGGAGGCGGAGGTTTTGGTGAACGAAGATCGCGCCATTGCACTCCAGCCTGGGTAACAAGAGCGAAACTCCATCTCAAAAAAGAAAAGAAAATTCTACTTTCTAGTAGCTGAACTTTTTATTTGAATGAAGTCTTAACTAGAACCTCAATATACAGAACAGATAAAAGCGGTACTGCTCAGGTGATAGGGGCAGCAGCCTGGGATCCCTCATGCCCCACACCAGGGTGACAAATTCAGGTGTTTTCAGGGCCAGGTCCTGATTCCAGATTTGGTCTCCTCTCCCTTCCACAGCCTGACCATTTCGTGCAGGACCCTGCAGTGCTGAGAGAGAAGGCAGAAGCCAGGCGCATGGCCTTTCTCACCAAGAAAGGGTGAGCATTCAAGGGGCTGCTTCTGAAGGGACCCTTCCCACCATCTAGGGAAGGCAAGGCCAGCCATCCAGGAAACCCACACATACACCCTAAGTGCTCCATGTGTATTAATTTAGTTGTCACGACAACCATGGGAAGTAGCTACCATTATCACTATCCTCATTTGACAGATGAAAAAACTCAGGCCCAGAGACATTAAGTAATCAGCCAAATGTCACACATCTAGTAGGTGATGGAGCAAAGATGGGGCCAAGATAGCTCAGCTCCAGGGTCCCCACTCGTAACCATGACTTGATGAACACAGGAGGGGATTTATCACCCAGCACGTCCAGGGGTAGCTGATACCAGGCAGAGTGTAAATATGAGAGAGCTCAGACAGACACACATCCTTTCTGGCTGATAGAGGTATGGAAGTGACGGGGCACTTGAGCTGGGTTCCCTGAGGGTAAAAAGGGCACAGAGGAGTTTGTCATATGAGGGCAGAAAGGTAAGAAAGCAGACATGGTCAGGCCAGGCGCCATGGCTCACACCTGTAATCCCAGCACTTTGGGAGGCCGAGGCGGGTGGATCACGAGGTCAGGAGATCGGGACCATCTGGTCAACATGGTGAAACACCGTCTCTACTAAAAATACAAAATATTAGCTGGGCATGGTGGCGCGTGCCTGTAATCCCAGCTACTCAGGAGGTTGAGGCAGGAGAATTGCCTGAACCCAGGAGGCAGAGGTTGCAGTAAGCAGAGATCGCGCCATTGCACTCCAGCCTGGGTAACAAGAGCGAAACTCCGTCTCAAAAAAGAAAGAAAGCAGGCATGGTCAGAAGAGGGATCTTTGAGGGGAGCTGAGATCAGTAGCCAGAGACTCCTCATCCAGGCCCCACATCTTCCCAGCGAGGAAACATCCAAAAAGTCCAAGGATCTGCCTCCACCTAAGGGCAAGCCAGGAGAAGCCCACTCCCCCATCCCAGCCCTAGGCTTCATGCTGCACTGTCTACTGGATGCAGAAGGCAGGGAAGGCATTTGGGTTTCATTCTGAAGTGGGGAGCCATAGAAGGTTGTTGGGAGCAGAGCAACCCTGACTTGTCATCCATCCCAGCCCCCAGAGTGCAAAGCTCTGGCAAATCCCAGGGGTTGAGATGGTCTGAAAGGGCCCTAGGTTACATCTGTGAGTGCACTTGGTCCTTGGAGGTCACCAAGCAAGGCCCTAGGATAGAAAACAGGAGTAATATCTCAGCTGCAGTATGTGGCCCCAGATGGAGAGAGGAGGAGACCGGACAAAAGCCCTCCCCATTTTCTGTGGGCTACGTCAGCCCTCCAGCTTTTCCTCTGCTACACGGAGTGATGGGCGCACC